TAAGATAACAAGCTAATAGGTCGGTAGTTTTCAATTTCTGTTACATCTTCTTTTTTGTGCAATAATATCATAATGGCATTATTCCATTTTTCTGGAATAACTCATTCAAATAGGCAGGCATTATAAAGGGTTTTTAAAGCTTTTATGACGCATTCGCCTCCTAATTTTAGCATTTCACTTACAATGCCATCTTCTCCAGATAATTTGCTGTTCTTCAAGTCTTACAACGCTGATTCGATTTCCTCTTCGGTTATATCCGGAAGTTCCTCTGATCCTTGATTTTGTATGGCTGAGATTTCCACCTCTGGAATGTGAGCATCTCGACGATGTAATGTTCTATAGTGCTCTTTAATAATTTTCATAATTTCTTGTTGTTCATATACAGCATGTCCTTGTCTATTTTTTTAGCTTCTGTATCTTTGTATCTGTAGAGTAGGGAGGGCGAGTTAAGTTTCACAGCACTTAGGACACAATTGACCCATTGTGCATCCTCCCAGGGAGCTGTTGCCCTTAGCGCATTGTCCATGCTGCAATTTCTAGGAAGGTGGACCAGTCACCAGAAGACATCTCTCTAGGTGTGGGCCAGAACTCGCCGAACGCGTACTCTCGTATTAACGATAACTCCAGGCATTCACATAGGTTATGCTCTACAGTTTCGTCTTCTCGTTCACACTTTCTACATAGAGGTGTGTCTGATAGCCTCAGTGTGTGGAGATATTTGCCTAGTTGACAATGACCAGTTAAAACAACCAACTGTCAAGCGTAGGTTTTTCCTGGTCATTCCCAAGTACTTCTTTGATGCTGACTCTTCAAGGTTAATTAGTGTTACCCTGGCAAGTTTACATCCTTGCCCTTCTTCCCATCTTCTTACGATTTGCGTATGGGAATGACATTTTACAATTTCTAAAATTGTTGTAGTTGACCAATCAAAAAGATCTCCAGGTTCTAAGAGTCTTAGGGCTGCCGCCTTCCTAGCCAATTGGTCAGCAATGCGGTTGCCTTAAATCCCGTTGTGTCCTTTAACCACCTCAGACTGATAGTATTACCATCTGACAATTACCGTTACCATCTATTACTAACCCTGATGTGACACGTGGTCTATTTAAGGTTAGTAGTGCTTGTCTGCTATCTGTTCAGATCATTATAGTTTTTCCTGGTATACCTTTTTGGGTTATCTCTTTTGCGGCTATGGAGATACCAGCCAGTTTTGTCTGAACTACGCTGGCATTTTTGCCCATACACCACTTTATTCTTAGGTTCAGTGATCTGGAGTATATCCCGCATCATGAGGCTTAGTTCATTTTGGAGCAATCGGTGTATGTGCAATAGGCATTTGCCACGTTTGTCTCCCTATACTCTCTTGTTTCGATTTTGTAGGGTTTGTTAAAGACAAACTTTGGTTCAATTGAATAGCAGCCTGCCTGTAGCAGTGGTAGCGCATCCAGCTCTCCCCGCCAGAAACGAGTTCTCAATTGCCCCATTCCCACATCAAGGTTTGCACCAGCTGAGCGTAATCGTATTCGTTGTCACTAGCGCCACCTCTTTGACATATATATCTAGAGGCGTGATGCCAATGATCAACTCCATTGCAGCAGTTGGTGTTGTTTTCATGGCACCTGGTATATTTATGCAAGCCATCCGCTGAATATGGTTTAGTTTGTTTATCGCTGTTGCTTGTAGCACTTTTGGTACTCAAGCAATAGCTCCGTAAGATATCATTGACCTAATGACACCAGTGTACATCCAGGCGATCACCCTGGGCGAAAGCCCCCATGCGTCCAACTGTTCGTCGACACTGCTTATAGGCAATATAATATGCTCTTTTAGCTCTACCATCTAAGTGTGAATTCCATGTTAACTTCCGGTCAAGGGTAATACCAAGATACTTCACCTCGTCAGAAAATATTTTTATGTTTTAAATTAATTTTATAAATGTTTATGCTTTCTGTCTTCAACCTTCGTTTTAGAACATTTATTTTGTTCTATGGTATTAGTTGTTTCTTTAGTGTTAAAATCCCTAATGTCTTTCCTAATAGCTTTTGAAATGTTGTTCGGAAGCTATTTTCTTGTGGCATTTAAAATTAATTGCTATTTACTGTCATCATGTCATGTGCTTGTCTTTTTAACGACGTATTACCTACATGCTATGATTTTTTTGACGGATATTCTTAAGTTAAAGTTGATTTCATGTAATCGAATGAACTATCTTATAAGTAAAGTCGTTTCAGGAGCGCAACTCAACAATATTGTCAATATCATTTTAAAGTCGTCTACTTTAAAATGCATAATGTATGTCTGGATTGTCAATATAAATGAGTCAGATAAAATTAAATTATTAGAAGAATTTTTTACTAAGTAACAAAAAAACAAAATTTGTTTAATTTACTGTTTGTATTTTGAGAACGATTTCCGAAGTAGAAATTGAAACGTCAATAAACGTATTTTTACCTTTAATTGTGGCTTATTTCCAGTTAAATAGTAATTAATTAGCTTTTGAAATGGTTATATTTAAATTTCTTAGCTCTGCGATGTTCACTGTGTGCTTATCTTTCATTTCCCTTCTTTTTTGCATTTAAACTTACATTAAATGTCAAATATAAGTTTGGTTATGTTGGGTGCCCTAAAATAATCATTGTTACAAAAACGTATCACCATGGTAAGCTTTATTGCTTGTGGCCTTTCCCACAAAACAAGAAAGGAGAAAATAAAAATTATTTGCCTGTTGACCAAGGTCACTACACTTCAAACCAGTGGCGTAACGAAAATTTCATTATTAACTGTATCTTAAGTGTGAAAGTAGAACTAGAAAATTTCAATTTTTGTTGACTTTGACTAATGTAATCCTCATTAGTTAACTATTACAAATAAAGTAATGTAAATTTATGTAACTGATAGTATTTAAAAAGGAGGTAGAAAATCTAAAATTTATTATATTTACTTTTTACGTTTATTTATATAGTAGGTACAATATAATTATAATTAATTACTATATAAAGCATTTCAATTTTTTTGATTTCCCAAGAACGAAACTCAGAAGAAAATGTGAGTTAATTTTGTTGGAAAAACGGAGATGGATATAAAGACATTTTCATATTTATGCTCAGAACATTTTACAGAGGAGGATTTTGACATGTCATTATCTTCAAAATCAAGGTTGAAGCCTGGTGCCATACCTAGTAAAATTATTGTTACACAAAAATGTATAAGTTTATTTTCATTATGTTTGTTTTAATTTTGTTTAAAATTTATTAAGAATATAAGATAACGTGTTTATATGCTGTTTCATAAATTTGTAGTCTAGAAGTGGTGAATTTGATGTAGCTTACAATCCCAATGAAACTCCATATGACTCGGACATATTACCCAGTTTAACAGAAAATACATTCACTTTCAAATTATCCCCACTTGTAAAAAAGCATCATGTTTACAAAGGTAAGTCAATGCAACACAATGAGTGTACTTTTTAAAGATATGGCATAGCATAAATAAGATACAATATATTTATTCACTGACGATTTGTTCTCTATAGATAGAGACCGTTTTCTGACATACATACATAAGAAGGTATATTTATTTTGATAAGAAATGTAGAAAATTAAAAGTGTGTAGGGTATCAACTGACCAAGGTTACATCATGCCTATGACTTAGCTATTTATAAAAAGTTACATTTTTTGTAATATTTTATAATTTTAAAACTTAGAAACTCCAGGAAAGAAGAAATTTAGAAGCAAATCCAAATACTTGCTACTAAGAATAATTTTAAGACTAAACAAATGCGGAGATTACAAAAAGGGTTTGGGCTTAACGGAAAAGAATTTTTAAACTGAGTAGTATCGTAAAAGAGCTATCAAAAAAAAATTAATGAAGACCATGTCAATACAATTATGAAACAATTTGGATGAAATGAACAATTAATTAATCGTTTGTTTAATAAAAAACTACAACACAAACAGTATCTAGGGAATAATCTCCTGAAATTAGAAAGTTTGCTTTTATTTTACATTTTTATTTTGCCGATGCATATCAATACCTAACGAAACGGTTTTTAAATTGTTTACCAAATGTTAAAACTTTATCAAAATGATCTAGTGCACTTAATGCTGAGCCAGTATTCACTACAAAGATTTTGAATTTGTTAAAATGTACAGTCCAAAGTAGCAATAAAAAAATTGTGTGTTCTCTTGTTATGGATTAATTACTATTAAACTGGGAATAAGCCACAATTAAAGATAAAAATACGTTTATTGACGTTTCAATTTCCACTTCGGAAATCGTTCTCAATAAACGTATTTTTATCTTTAATTGTGGCTTATTCCCAGTTTAATAGTAATTAATTTACAATGCCACAAGAAAATAGCTACAGAACAATACTTGTTATGGATGAAATGAATATCCGAGACAGAATCGATTACTTCAATGACAAATATTTTGGTTATGTTGATTTCGGAGCAGAGCATGATAAAAGTTGTGACATCGCCAATAAATTATTAGTATTTCTTTTAACAGCTATTAAAGAGTCATGAAAAATTGCAGTTGGATATTTTTTTATATATACTTGAACAGGCAATCAATATCGATTTGTTAAGTAAGAAACTAAGATAAAAGTAATTTTTCTTTGATAGAGTCTCATCTTCGATATCTTCTAGTACAGCTGCCCTTCTTTTTTGTGGTTCTAGTACAGCTGCCTAATCTGATGTTATTTTTATATTACAAAAAAGAGCAATACGGTATCTTTTTGGTCTCAGTAGAATAACACATTACAGCACTACAACTTCTTTCCCTAAGTTCCATATATTACAAAAACAAAATTTTATTTTGTTTTTCAAATTTTCTCAATGGGTTTAAATATAATTGATAAATCCTAGTTATTCTTTTAATTAATATTCTATTTTCTTTTTACTAACTTTAGTTTTATTTGGGTCAACATATCATAAAAATACCATAAATTTATTATAGGGTAAAAGTAACCTAGACTATATAACATTAAGAAATAAAGTACCTTCACCAGTCCAAAACCAGTTATAGCGCCCATAAGTTGGCCAAATATATAAATTGGAACATTAATTAGTGGAAAACTTCCTAGAGTGGCTGCAGCTACCGTCACTGCTGGATTAATATGTGCTCCAGAAATATGTCCAAAAATCTAAAATATAAAAGTATATGCATATACTATTCGTAAATATTGCAATAAAAGATTAGAGTTAACATCTATAAGGTGGTTAGAGGTTGATAAGGTTCTTGGAGGCAATATGGAGTGTCAGTATGCTGATTGCTGTAAAACTCTGAAAAACGCCCACTTGTTCCCGACAAATAAGACATCCTACTCTCACGTTTTTGAAGACACAATGTGTTGCGTAACTACTGAATGCATGGTGTGTCAATTATTATGCGTTATGTAGTAGGTGAAAAAGGGTAAATTGCGAGTTTCTGGTATGTTAAAACTTGTCAGCTTAAGAAGAAAAGCAAAAAATTCCTGGTTGGTAGTTTAGTCGTTGTATTGATTCTCCAAAACTAGAAAAACGGAAACTACAAGAAAACCAAAATCAATTTGGAAATATGATAGGAAACTTTATACTCATAAAACAAAAGTTGCGAAAAACATAAGGACGGAGAAGCCATCAGTGAGCATATTCTGCAGATAAACGTAAAGGTACATCAAAAACGATTATTGTTATTGCTGTATAATATACTTAATGAAATAATGAACCAGTTCTTGTAAAATAAGATTTCTTCGAAGAGCACAACAAAGTAATTGAAGAGATCGGGACTACGCGAGAAGTAATATTTATTTTTTTATGGCAATTTTAATAGAAACACTGGTCACAAAAATATTACTCAGATGATAGATTGTGCATTTTTACATAAGCATAAATCAATTACAGCATTTTTCACTTGTTAATTCTATAAACATAATTTTTTCCTCTTACCTAGTCTAATCTTTTTTTCTTGCCTAGGATCACGTAACCTGCTTTTTTAAATAAATACTTGTCCTCAAATTCTTCTACTATCATTTCTGGCTTCATTATCATCATCATCTTTGGCTCTACAATCCTCTGTAGATCCTGACCTGCTCTAAGATTAGTCGCAATTCTGTTTGGTTTCTGGCAACGTGTTGCCATCTAATCTCTAGTATCCCTAAGTCGGTCTTAACTCAATCTAACCACTTAATTCGTGGTCAGCCTCTACTTGTTCTTCCTAAAGGGTTCCGGTCGTTAGCCTTTTAGCAATCGTGTTGTCAAGCATTCGTGTTATGTGTTCGTGCCTAAGTCGCTGTGTTTAATGAACCTTATGACATCTGGTTCATTAAAGAGTTGGTTTAATATGAAATTAAATATTTTGCGCCACTGCCCTTGATCGTTTATAGCTCCAAATATTTTGCTTTCACTCGAATATTCTTAGGCGTCTTTTATCCTTCTGCATTAGAGTCCACGATTCTGCCCTGTATGTAAGGACCGGCCTTTGAGTGGAATTGTTTTTGAATTCAATAGTAGGCCCTATTTGTAAGGTTTATTCGTTTTTTAATTTCTTCGTTTGTTTTATTGATAGTAGTCACTAGCAAGCCAAGGGTATGTAAAGCTGTCAACATGTTCAAAGATATGACGTCTAAATACTATTTCCCGTTCCTCATTTTGCTATAGGATCCTTAGTAACTAATACTACTTGGTTTTGTCTTCGTTGATGACTACACCGACCTAAAATCCTTGCAAAATAACCACATGGAACGTCAGAAGCATGTTTGAGTCATGAAAAGAATGAAAATCAGCATCCTCGGAATAAGTGAAATGCGGTGGCTGGAATCAAGATTATGTGACGTAGATGGATATCCAGTAAACCATGCCGGAAATACCGATGCCAATCACTATAATGGAGTTGCAATCATAGTAGCAAAACACTTAGCTTAATTAGTATTAATTTATATCCCCATATCTGACAGAGTAATGCTAGTGAAATCGTTCATTACCAATGTAATTTAAGTCTATGCCCCAACATCATCCAGTGATAAAGATAAATTAGAATCATTTTACAAAGATTATACTGATGCTTTAGATCTTGTCAAAGCAGCTGAAAATACCATAGTTTTCGAAGATTTTACCCCTAAAGTTGACAAAGGACGCTGTTTGAACATTGTGGGGGATTATGGCCTGGGAAACAGAAACAAACGGGGAGATCGACTTTTTCAGTTCTGTCAAGAACACGATTTCATTATATCGAATACTCACTTTAAACTACCACCAAGAACACTACACCTGGAAGTCAAATGCAGAATCAGAGGACAAAATTATTAGGAAGCAAATCGACGTAATTCTAATAAAAAATCGATTTAAAAACTGCATCAAATCAGTTTAAAACTTGTCCTGGTGCTGGCATTGGGTCTGATTCCATAGTAACTGTAACCCAATTAAAATTAAAAAAGGTAATCAAAAAGAAGTCTCGCAAAAATATTGATACAGCCCAATTACAAGACAAAAAAGTTAAGGAATTAGTTCAAAGACAACTGAACGAAAATTTAATTTGGGAAAATATTGATGAAAACGTCGATGAGGGCTTGAATAAAATCATAACAGCACTAAAAGAAGTATGTGTAAGAAATTTACAAGAAAGCACAAAGCTAAAGCAGCAGGCTGGGATGACAGATGACATATTAGATTTGATGGAACAACGGCTCCTAGCGAAAAACAACGAAATACTTTACAACAGCAACAAAAAGAAAATCGACGTAAAATGTGAGAAGCAAAGAGTCAACATCTAGCCAAACAGTGTCATGACATTGAAGAACTTGAAAACAGATACGATACGTTTAACATGTATAAAAAAGTGAAAGAAGCGGATGGTATCTTCAATAACAAACAAACTGCATTGCTGCAGGATTAGTATGGCAAAGTAATATTTGAAGTAGAGGACAAACTTAAAGAATGGAAAATTACGTCACGAATCTATTCGAAGACGATAGGAGTAGTTCACCTCCCGATATAACTAACTGCGACGAACCCCTAATAACATGCTTTAAGGTTATAAAAGCCATACGAACATCAAAATATGGCAGATCGACTGGTCCTGATGAAATTACAACTGAAATATACAAGCTTATAAATGATATAAATGTTTTAGAGGCTATAACTTCGTTTTTTAATACAATTTATATCATCGGAAAACTACCTAATGGTTGGTCTTTATTGAAAATTTTTCTAAAGGTAATACATGGTCGTATCTACAATAAATGCGATGAATACCTGGATGACACTCAGTTTGGTTTCCGTAACGGGTTTGGAACGAGAGAGGCACTGTTTAAAATGAACGTACTTGCTCAAAGATGTCGAGATATATCTGTAGACATACACTGTTGTTTTATTGACTTTAAAAAGGCATTTAATCGTGTTAAGTACTCTATATTGATCAAAGCTCTAAAAGACATTGGTTTGGATGGCAGAGATGCATTGAGATGCAGAGAATAATTGCAAAATTTATATTGGAATCAAACAACATCAGTTTTACTAGATGTTGTAAAACCACATCTCAATATTAAAAGAGGCGTACGATAGGAATGCCTCTCGTCACTTTGCTTTTCAACGTTTACTCCGAAAGAATTTTTAGCAAAGTACTTTCTAAAAAATAAGAAATACTTGTGAACGGTGAAGTCATCAATAATTTAGGATATGCGGACGATACAGTAGTCCTAGCTTCTAGTCAAGAAGATCTGCAAACACTAATTGATAGTGTCGGTGAGAGTTGTAGGGAGGCAGGTCTGGATCTGAACATACGGAAAACCAAAGTACTCGTAATAAGTAAACAACAGCATATAGAACCGACTATATATGTAAATAATACCAAACTTGAGCAAGTTGATAAAATCGTTTACCTTGGATAGCAATTAAATTGTAACGCAGAAAGTCCCAGCAAAATTAGGTCTAGAATAGAGCAGGCTACAGCTGCTTTTAGTAGGATGTCGCAGGTGTTATGTAACAGACACCTAAAATTGGCATTGAGGATTCGCCTACTTCGCTGCTATCTGTTCTCGGTTTTACTTTATGGTATCGAGTCCTAAACTGTAAATAAAGTCGATCTAAATCGCCTTGAGGCTTTCAAAATGTGGTACTATAGAATAATTTTAAAAGCTTCCTGGGTGGAGAAGATTCATTCGAAACTCCACAATACTAGAACGTCTCAGCAAGACTACTGAGATCATAGAAAGCATCAAGCAGAGAAAGCTGGAGTATTATAGGTTAGTCCCAAATATAGGTTGGTACAAAATATCATGCAAGGAAAAATAGTAGGCAAATTAAGTCCAGGACGAAGAAGAACCTTATGGTTCAAGAATTTATTTGCGAGATTGGTATTGTGTTGATAGAAGCATGCTATTTAGGGTTGCAGTGAATAAAATTAAGATAGCTATGATGGTATCCAACGTTATGAAACGACATGGTATATAAATAAAAAGACCTGTTGCGCCGCTGGTTCCAATTCTAGGAAATATTGCTCAACATCTCGCCTGCTACGCTATGTCAGTGTCATCAGCGTATACTAAGACTTGTTTTGATCTATTGTAAATAGTACCGCCGTCTCTAACTCATGTGTCTCGGACTGCATTTTCCAAGGCAATGTTAAACAGGAAGCAAGTCAGGACATCTCCTTGTCTAAGTCCATCCTTTATCTCAAAGGATCCAGAATTTTCTCCCTGTATCCTCATAATGAGTTTTAAGTTAGACATTGTCATGCTCGTTAATCGGATGTTTCTCTATTATATTAAACTTAAGCATTGATTGATATAGTACCGTTTTCTTGACACTGTCGTATGCATTCCTAAAGTTGACGAATAATTGATGGGTTTCATTATTAAATTCGAATGTTTTCTTGAGGATCTGTCTTGATGGATTTGGTCAATTGCTTGATTTTTCTGAATTAAATCTGGCATTATTTCTGCAAAACAACTTCTAACACACAAAATCAGATTTAAACTTAAAATTTTATTTACAATCTTGGTTGATTTTTTATTGGTATTATTACCAATTATTGGTACAAAATTAGTACTACAGAAAAAATCCGTACAGAAGCATGAATAAGCAACGATAAATATGAAGATATAATATAAGAGAACTAATGAATTATGAAGGTAGAAGATTATAAAGAAAAGAAAAAAACGCACAAAAAAATAAAAGAAATAATTAAACTATTTACGAGAATTTTAAACAAGAATACACTTTATTTGTTGTTACTTTTAGAATTATGTAGTTCATATAATATGATTTAGACTAACGGGATAAAGTTGATGTTGCATACAACGAAAATTAAGGAGATGACTTTTAGAGTGAAAATTAAGGAGGAAGACATCGATAGGAGAAGAACAGTTTGGGTTTATGCTTTGAGACAATTAATAAAGCAATACGACGAGAAGAAGAGAGAGCTACATTTGGTATTAATAGATCTTGCGAAGGCGTATGGCACATTTCCTAGGCAAAAGCTATTGATATCTATGAGAGAAAAATGGGTTCTTGAGAACTACGTAAAGGTCATAAAGGATATATATTGGGAGCTTAGACCAAAGTAAAGACTTATGTCAGATTGATTGAAAGTTTTCCAGTGACGCTTAGTTTGCATCAAGGCTCTACCTATTATTTCTTATTTCGGATATACTAACAGAGAGTGTAACGGAGGGAGCTCCTTGGTCCATGGTCTTTGCTAATAATTTTGTATAAGTAGAGGAGAGCAAATAAATGTTGGAGGTGAAATTGAAGGATTGAAAAGGGGCATTAAAGAGAGAATACTTAAAGTTGGGAAAATGGGACACTAGATCGAGAAATTGCCCACATGATACAGGCTGATTGGTTTAACTAGAGCAAATGAGCAGGGTACTCTGTAATCCACAAATCGGGGAAGGACTAAAGGAAAAGATATACAAGAGTGTGCTGAAATATGCCTTGATTTTCGGCTGTGAAATGAGGACTGGAAAGAACATTCAGGAAAAGAAGATGGAGGTAGCTGAAAAAAAAAATGTTACTGTGGATGTTGGATAAGCCTAGAATTGACAGGTTCAGGGACCACTTAACGACTTAGAAAACGTCAGATATAGAAATGGAAACTATGTGGAATAAAGGAATATTTTTTAGAAGTAAATGAAAGAGAGGTAGAGGAGAAATAAAAAAAGATGGAAATACTGTATGGCAGAGGACTTAAAAAAAAAAGAGTTGGGTGAGAAAGATACGGTAAACAGAAATGAGTAGCAAAGGAATAGTGACTTGTGAAAAGGGAAAAGGTGAGGAAAAATATTATATAATTTAGAGTGGTTAAATTTTAACCCTATACCTTTTAAGCCATTATTTGTTTGGCTAAATAAACAATTAGTCCTTACCTGTACTCCCATCATAATGGCAAAACCAAATCCAAAGGATATTACGGTCGCATTACCACTGATGCATCCTAAGCAACCGACGAATACCAGGCATGCGGTGCCACCCAATTCGGAAAGAAACATTATTATTCTTTCCACCACTGACATTTCGTCGTGTAACTGTACTAACCTCCCTGAAAAAGATTTAGAATGTTTAATATACAAAAGTACACACATACATATTATACTCGAGAAGCGAGAAACCACTTATGGCATAAAGTTATCTCTGTCCTTGTTTTAAAACCTTAAAAAAATGCTAAAAGCCGTCAATTTTCATATGTAGATGTGCCCTTTTTAAAAATAAATTTAAATGTACAGGGTGATTCACCGATTTATTGTAATTTCGGTCCTGCTTTTCACTGATTACACATACTTTGCTTGATAGTTTGATTTTAAAGCATATAGTATGTAGTGTATGCATAATTATCGGACTTAAAGAAAAAATAGGAAGAAAATAATATAAGTCGACAAAAATTAAATAAACACCTCTATGGAAGGTTGTCACTTCATCTTTTGTGAGGTCGTCCGATACTTCTTCTGCCAATAGGTGACTTATCTCTTGCTATTTTGACGACACGGGTCTCCTCCATGCTGCTTATGTAGTTATTCCATTCTTTTTTCTATTTTGTGTCCATTCATTTATACACTGTACGTTGCATTTTCTTCTAATGTCTTCACTTATCTTTCGATCTCTCAGCGCATTTCCTGTAATTCTTCTCAGTACTCTTATATCTGCCGTTTTCAGTAGCCTTTACGTTGTGGCTATGTTGGGTCTTGTTTCTGAGACATATTTCATTTTTTTTGTGTGTGTTTTGGGTTGGACAATTGTCATTCAGCCAGTCTCAATCAAGATAAGTTTATTGATGTAGTGTGTGTGTGTTTGTGTGTGTAGAGTAATTGTCTTGATACTTAGCAAAGTCGACGTCATTGTCTTTGCTAAGAGACGCTAATTGTATCCGAACGTCTGCGGTCCCTCCGGTGAGATATTTTATTATTGGTCTTACACTGACTTTATAAATTCCTAACTTCATCTCAGTGTTAATGTGGCTGATTTGCCATATAGTGGTATTAAGTCATCCTGCAAGGCTATTTGCTTTTTGTACTTGATCTCTCACTTCTTTGTCCAGGTGTCCATAGCTAGACAGAATGATTCCCAGATATTTTAGTTCCATTGCTTGTTCAATACTGATGTCATCAATTTTTATTTTAAATCTGGTTGGTTCTTAGCTAACTACTATAATTTTAGTTTTCTGGGATGAGATTGTCACATTAAATTCTTTTGCTCTTATGTTAAATCTGTGGTCTAGTCTTAGCAGACTATCTTTATCTTGGGCTCTAACTCTACATTATGCTCTTCCTCTTCCAGCAATTGGAATCTGTTGCTTATTGCCACTTGATAATTTAGTTTTTTATTTGGTATTTGTAAGGCTTCTATGTTCCATACTTCTCTTTTCTTTTGTTATTCCAGTTACTGTATTGATAATCGCGTTCTTAACTTAGATTTTAACAGAAAGTGATCGCTATCGTTGTCAGCTCCTCTCATACTTCGCGAATTAATAATGCTACTAGCGTGTCTTGCGTCAATGAAGACATGATCTATTTGCTTTCGTGTTCTTCCATCATTTGAAATCCATGTGACCTTGTAAATGTCCTTTTTCTGGAATTGGGTGGATTTAACGATTATGTTATTAAATATTGCGAATTGTGTTAGCCGGTGTCCATTATCATTTGTTGTGTCGTGCAAGCCACGCTTACCAATTAATTCTCTTATATAATCTTTTTTACCTAGTTTAGCGTTGCAATGTCCCATCACTATTTTGACGTCGTGTTTTGGAGCAGCTTCATACTGTTGGTCTAATAATTTATAAAATTCATCCTTCCTATCTCCTTCGGCATCTTCTGTTGGGGCATATATTAAGAATATTGGGAGATTACACCACTTACTCTTGAGTCTTATATAGCAGATTCGTTCATTTATTGGCTTGAATTCTACCACTTATGATTTTAGTCTTTTGCAATGACAAAGCCACATTCGTATTCATGTCTATTCTCACTACCTGACCAAAAGACTATAGTATCTTCCATTTCCAGAATTCCTATTGCTGTCCATCTTATTTTCTGTATTGCTGTAATATCCATGTTATATTTTTGTAGTTGTCTAATGACTCTCGTCGCTATCCCCGGTCTGTGCCAACTTAACACATTCCACATTCCCATGCAAATGTCTTTATTTCGTTGCGAGTGTCGTTTATATTTCCTGTTTGTCCTGTTTCGAGGCAATAGTTTCTGTTTTGTGGCTCCAAATTTTTACATGTACGGAGCGCCAGCCCATAGCATTTTTCCTTTTCGGAGGACCATTTCACCTCTCTCGTCAGTTCCTGACCCAACGTTCCACCTGGATTGGATATCGGATATCCAATTGGGTTTCTCAGTTTAACAGGAGGCACTATCGTGAAGGTGAGAATCGGATTGGAGTAGAAGAGGCTAAGTGGAGTAAACTGGAAGCAACTTCATGTTTTCGCTTTCTACCCATTTACCTCTTCTGTATCCTCTTCCTTTATTAACCCTTTTGATAATTTTATCCATAAACAATTTAAACAGCATGGGGCTCAATGAATCTTTTTGTCTTATTCAGCTGCCTATTTCTATATGTTCTGTAAGTTATCCATCTATTTTGACTTCCATTTTGTTGTTTTGGTAGATGTTGTTGATAGTTTTTATAATTTTTAAGGGAACTAAAATTAAAAAACAGAAGATGGATTCCATATTTGAGTCTTGTGTTTTATAATTTTATTAATTAATGTTGGTTAATTTTTCTGTCATTGTTCTTGTCATAATAATATATTTTAAGAGACTTATTTAAATAATATTTATAAAGAATAATGTATAAAAGACCCCGATAAACTTGGAACACAATACACCATAAAATGACAACAAGCAATATTTAAGAAATTAGATATCATTGTACACCTTAGTAGGAGAAAATACTTTTCATCATTGTAACGAATATATTTTGCCTAACACATGGGATATTACATTGGGGCAAGCAAAATAATCGATACAGATTCGAACGGTACTCAGGGTTTGTTTGGTGAACTGGGGTCGTGGATAAGTAAATGACAAGGGGGTTGGATTGGGGCAACCACAAAAAAATGAAACAAAGGGATACTAACATGAATCTCTTGGGAAATCAAAACAAAATACAAGAAGGAAACACCTCTAGCAATTTAAAAAGGACGCCGCTTCAAGGTACCAAATTATAACTATTATAACAACTAGTTGTAACTACTGGAATAATTAATAAAAATGAAAAATATATCTTTTTTACATGAAACTCAAAAAAAAAGGTTTAGAGAGTTTATTAAGATAAACAAACAAAATGGTTTACAAAAACTTAAACATTTATTGTATCTCACCATAAACAGTTATAAAAATAAATGGCACAAATTACTATATAGATAGAAAAACATGTCTATTTCAGAAAATTAACCAAAGGATCTTAGTTTGTTTTTATATTGTGCTATTTTCTTTCATCGTCACCCAGCCCTTTGCGTCCACTGCTGGTCATAGGCCTCCCTCATTTTTGTCCATTGTCCAGCGTCCTAGAACTTTTAGCTGTCAATGTCAAAGTTTCGGCACCATAGGTCATCACAGGCAACACACATTGGTCAAATGTTTTACGTTTCAAAGAAATTGGTATATTGCTTTTAAAGATGTCTTTGAGTTTTTCATAGGCTGCCCATGCTAGGTTTACTCTTTTTCGTAGTTCGCATGTTTGGTTGTCTCTCAAATATTACAAGAGACAACTAAACATTTTTCTTTTGTTTGTGTTATTTAAAATCAAACAAAGTAAAAATTGTAAACAACAAAAAGTTAGGTTATATATGAATTGCTTGTGTGGGAGTGACTAACCATCCAAAAGAAGAAATGCTTATTCAAAGTCTGGTCTAATTACGTTTTTTTTTTTCAATGGCCCTCTATAAATAAAAAAATATAGCTATGAAAAAGTTTATATTGTCGGCTCTGCATTTTCTTGTCGATTCCATTTATAAACTTTATTTAATCCCATTTCAATTTGGATTAATCACGCAAGGCACTTAGGCCTTATATGCATCTTGAATAATGTATAGTGCACTCTATGTAATGACTTTTGTGTAAAAAAATATATTTCATCATTTAAGTAGCGTTTTAAATTTTCAGTTCAATCTCTTTAATCGCTTAAAAATATTATGCACAAATTTATTCAGTGCATTCCAATTAAAACTACCCTGTGACATTTTGACACCAGCAACCATATCCAACATCGATATATATATATATATATATATATATATATATATATATATATATACCATGTATTTAGGTATACAAAACAACACCGTCATTTGTAGTAAACAAATTGTTAAAATTTTGGGTGAAAATTTTCATAAGAAAACAACAAATAGACATACTTCAAATTGACAGCTTCCCATGTCTACCAATCTAAACTCCAGTTTATCTGATAGCAAAAGATCCGATCAAATTTATCTAAATATGCTGTTTACATTACAAGATTTATCAGACACATTGTATGCTATGCATAACTTCAACTATCCAAATTTCCACATATCTTTTTTCCTCACAATTTGTTTCACAGAAATGGCTTTTGATAGTTGTTTTGGCCTCTATTTTAGTGTTTTACTCTATGGTGGTCAATTGGTGAGTCGTATTGTGGGTGGACATTGAGGTTATTCTGGTTCTTAACTTTATTTCTCTGGTGAGGTAGTTTTTTTTGACTTTGACTCGTGTACTTGTTTATTAATTTCTAGGGAGTTCCACTATTGGGCAGGTAGGGTGTACTTCAAGGGGTTTGGGAGGTGGTTGGGTATTGTGAGGTTTTTTTTTGTGACGGCATGTTATGGGGTGTTAGTCGGGTAGTTTTGTTTGGGAGATGGGGGGGTTGGGGTATGGGGGGTGTGGGACGGGTGGGTGGTGTGGAACTTGGGGGGGTGGGGTGTTTGGTGTATGTTGGTAGTAGTGGGTTGTGAGGTGGTTTTTCTTTTGGTTTTTTTTTTTTTAGTTTTTTGTGGGGGGTGGGGGGAGGGGTGGGGAGGTGGGGGGTGGGGGGGTGGGGCGTTGGGGAGTGGGGTGATTTGAGGGGTGTGGGTTAGTGGGGGTTGGGTTGCGGTTTTGGTTGTTTTCTGGTATAGATGGGGGGAACTTTGACACAGGGGGAGGATAGGGGGG